ACCACATAAGCTTCTTCTCTGGATTCCCAGAAAGCTCAAGGAACAGAGAGTGGTGAGCAAAAAGCTCTTTGTCCATCACCAGCTTGAGGCAGACATTTAAAAAGAGCTCTCCTTGGAGTGCTAGAGGGACCTGGGAGCCTCAGGAGTCTGTGGGAACTGAGATTTTAGGGGGCTGTATGACCGCAGGAGCGTTCTTTCATCAGCAGACATCCTCCTCTATCTCACTGCGTACACATTGACCCGATTCCAATGTTGAATCTGACTGCCGAAACTTCCTCTCGTCTTCTAAGTTTGGTTTAGGTCAATAAAGACTGTTGGAGTCAAGCAGGGAATTCTCCCTGGACAGAGCTGAGTAGGGCTACTTATCTCCTGGAAGCCAGAGGTCTCTAGCAGCAGCAATGTGGGTTTTCCATCGTAGAAACAAAGATACATCTATTCCACCAGCCCCAACCCACGGCAGAGGCAAGTGCTGGGGCAACTCCGAATGACATGAGTGGATATCTGGCCTTTGGAACGAATTCTGTGTGTGAAAGACATCAAGTGAATCAATACTGAGCTGAGTGTCTTCTATTTTAAGAGGCGTTAAAAGGCAAGCGAGGGTATGTGGGCTCCTGAAATGTCAGCTGGAAGAGGAATGGAATTAAATATTGACACGCCAGAATAATGAGCTTTTAAAGAATGATAAACACGAAGAAGTCTCTTGCCTCTCAGAGGAATTCAGGATGGCAAGGATGCTCCTATTGGGCTCTCTTCTTTGCAGACCTCAGAAGTTCTATGCTTTTCTCAGAAAGTGAATGAGTTAGGGATCTTAAAACACAACTCAAATAGGTTGAGGCAAAGACACACAGGAAAGTCCAGGAATAGGGCTGCTTCATGCACAGGAGGATCCAAGAGTAAAACAATGCTACCAGGGCTCAGTTTATCTTTGCTCCTTGAATCTGCTTTCTTCAGAGTTGGCTTGTCATGGTAGCTTCCAGCAGGTCAAGTTCATGCACAACAGTGGGTAATTACTGTTGATTAAATGTGCATTTGTGGGCATAGGTTTCAGTGTTTATAGTATGGATGGGTTGGGTGGTTTTGTTTTTTTTAAAATGATTTCCCACTTAAAAAATTATTTCCCACTTCATCAGAGTTTCAAATCATCAATTAATTACAATTCCTAATTGAGTCAACCAGAGTTATGTTACTGTGTTATCCAAAGATCAACTTTATTCATAATAATCTCAAACTCTTTTAACTTTGTAAAACTAGAAGAAATCTTACAGATAATCTTTTCCAATGCTCTTATGCCACAAATGAGGTTGTCCAGGGCCCAGGAGAGAAAAAGTTCTCGCCCATGAACCCATCACGTGCAGAGGAGAGAGTCAGGGCTTTCCCCACTGCTCCAAACAGGAGGTAGACCTACAAGGACCCAAAGAAATGCTGTGGTTAGGTGCTGTTGAGTCAGCTTCAACTCACAGCGACCCTATGTACAAACCTTGCCCTATCATGCACTATCCTCTAATCTGCCACGTTTTAATTCTAGCCATCTCTCCCCACGACTTCATACATCTAAATAGCAGGGTCTTAAAGTACAATCCCTGCTGGGCTTAATTAATTCCATTGTTGGCAGTCACTGTGTTGATCCATCTCATTGAGAGTCTTCTTCTCCTCTTACCTTCCACCTTTCCAAGCCTGATGTCCTTTTCCATGGACTAGCCCCTCCTGCCAACACTTCCAAAGTATGTGAGATGCAGTCTCACCATCCTTGCCTCTAAGGACCACTTGAGCTGCATATTTTCCAGCATAGACCTGTTCATTCTCTTGGCACAAGAATGATATATTCAATTTATTGGTATATCCAAGAATTTTTGCCAGCATCCCTATTGGAAGGCATAAATTCGTCTTTTGTCCAACTCTCACAAGTATATGAATCAACTGAAAATACCATGGCTTGGATCAGGCACATCTTAGTCTTTAAAGTGACACCCTTGTTCATCAGCACTTCAAAGAGATCCTCGACAGCAGATTTGCCCAATAAGAAAGGCTGTGGTGGGCAGAATAATGCTCCCCCCCACCAAATGCTTATGCCCTGATGCTTGGAAGCTGTGACAGCATGGAGGAGGGAGTGTCACACGGCAAAGTGGACTTTGCAAAGGTGGTTAAAGTTGAGATGTTTGAGAGGGAAAGATTAGACTGAAAGTAATTGGAGGGACAGAGTAACTGGCCAGAGTGACACAATGAAGAAGAACAAGCAGGAGATTTAAAGCATGAGAGGGTTTTGACCTGCCCTTTGATTTTGAAGATGGAGGAAGGAGGGTAGAAGCCAAAGAATGCAGACAGTGTTTAGAAGCTTGGACTGGACCTCTTAGCTCTCAGCAAGTAAGGAAAAAGGAGCCTCAGTCCTTCAACTGTAAAGAACTGAATTCTGTAAGAACCCGAATAAGCCCAGAAATGCCTTCTCCTCTACAGCTTCCAGAGGGAAATGCAAAGCTGGAGACATCTTGGTTTTAACTCGGTGAGACTCAGTGTCCTACACTGACCTCCAGAGAGCCAAAATGATAAATACATTTGTGTTGTTCAAGTTCATAGGTCTGCGTCAGCTTGTCACAGCATCCATAGAGAAGGGATCCACGTCAACGGTGGCTGCCTTCTTGTTTTAGAATATCCCGGTGCATAGCAACTGATGTCACAGAAAAGATTCTAGAAGAGTTGGGCATAGAGAAAGGTGAGTGGTGTCAGAGGTCCTGAGGGAAGGCAAGCAGGTGATTAGGGAAGTAGACTCGGAGAAGTCCAGGGAACCAAGTGTAGGTGGAGCAACGCACCTGAGGGGAGAACTGGAGCTGCCTCGGTGTCTGCTGCTTGTAAAGTTCCAGCGGGCTTGCAGAGGGACGCGTGGACTGGTGAGTAAGGACATCATGAGCAGGAGACACACGGATGTGAGGATACCCAGCTGCAGGAGGCTTTCCTTAGCAAACTCGCCCATATCTGACGAGATCTGTGTCAGAATGAGTAGGTTCACGCATTTAGTCCACAAAGATTTCTTGAGCGCCAACTTGGTGCCAGGCTCTGTTCTCAGCTCTGTAGATAAAGCAGAGAATAGACTAGAGAAGCCTTCCACACTTCTGGTCCTTACATTCTGATATGGGTGATAGGTAATTCTCGTATTTGTTGCAGATGAATGAGTAAATGCACAAGCTAACTTTTAATAATTGTCTTAGGCTATGAGGAAAATGAAAATAATTTTTTTTACACTTTTAAAATTTATTATTAATTTCAATGAAAATTTACAGAGACTTTGGATTTGCATTCATTCATTGTTGCACTTTTCTCCCCTCCCCTCTAGTACACTACCCTCTTGGAAAAGTAAAATAAAAGTCTTTCATTGTTATACAATCCCTCCCCTCAGGTCCACTACACTATACAGCCTTCACTCTGGACTCCTGTCATGACAAAGATGCCTAATAATTTTCCCTCTTAAACAGTTTTCTCCCTCATCTGTTTCAATACAGTATACATTATTGAACCCATCTTTCTCAGTCTCCTCCCAACCCTGATGTCAGTCCTGCTTTACAACAGTGGCACCATGCAGTATTTGTCCTTTTGTGGCTGAGATACTTCACTCAGCATAATGTCCTCCAGGGTCACTCATTTTTAATAATAGTTCATGAGTTCCTTTTTTAAAAAAATCCAGTCATTCATGCACATTTTGTTTTATAAGATAGATCACAATTGATTAACATGATTAATTAGGGAGCTCTGGTAGTCTTTGGACATGTTGTAAGGAGAGACAGGTCCTTGGAGAGGGACATCATGTTTGATAGGGTGGAGGGACAGCACAGGAGGGGAAGACCCTCTATGAGGTGGATTGATTCAGTGACTGGGGTAATCAGGATGGGTGTGTCAGATTCAGTGCAATTGGCACAGGATAGAGCAGGGTTTAGGGCTGTTGTACATAGGGTCGCTATGAGTTGCAAACGACTCGACGGCACATGACAACAACAACAACAACTGGTAGACTAATGGTAAGGAGTTCACTGTCAACCCAAAGGCACATGGTTTGAATCCATCAGATGCTCTGGGGGGTGGGGAAGATGAGCATTCTTCTCCCGTTTGACTTGCAGCCTCTTAAAACCTAGTTGAAGGTCAGCTGTGAGTTGGTTTCAACTTGACAGTACACACGAAAAACTTGAGTTTGACTCCTTGTGTGAACAGCAAGGAGAAAGCTCAATAGAGTTTGGTTGGTAGAAATGCTCTAGGTGAGACCACAACTCTGTGTCTATTTCAGGATAAACATTCAAGTGGGAAATAACTCAGCAGATAGTGATGGTGCTTGATGGGTAGAATCGTGCTGGAATTGTTTTCTTTTCTGTTTTCGCAAATGTACTAAATGAGTAAGTACGATTTTCACAGTAGATGGTTAGAGAGGAACTTAGCATCTACAATGTATGTCAAAGAGAAAGGAATGTAAGAAACCAAGAAAAGGCTACTTTGGCTAAAGTTTTGCTAGAGGGAAAGAATGGGGAATGGTGGGTGGGGTCTTTCACCAGAATGACGTTGTTAAGTACCTTCAAGTTGGAACCAACTCACAGCTAACCCTCCAGCATGTTCAAAGGCAGTAAACCACATGGGAGGAGATTGCCCACTTTTCTCCTGCAGAGTAGCTGATAGATTTGAACTATGTACTTTGGGGATAGCAGGGTAGCTTCTTACCACTAGGCCGCCAGAGCTCTCTAGGGAATAGAAAGTCAAGGAGAAGAGGAGTCTCACTCAGGTGTTCTCAGTTTGTGGTGACACCAGAGAGTTAGGAAGAGAAGCTATGGCAATGGGTAAGTCACGGTGAAGGCAAGACAGCTGTTACTCTGAACACACTGAATTCCACTTCCCGCCGGACTCTCACCAAATCTCCTTTTTGCTCCTTCAGAGAAAACAATATCCCTGTGATTGTGTAACAATTCTCAGCGACTCCACCTGCTTCCCTGGCCCCTCTCACGCCCTCAGCTGCTGGGAGCCGTGGGAAGATGAAGGCATCTGTGGTCCTCTCCCTCCTCAGTTACCTAGTGGTGCCAAGTACGTCTCGAATCCTGGGACGCTGCAGGGTGGCGAAGAAGCTCCAGGAAGGAGGCCTGGGAGACTTTGAAGGCTACAGCCTTGAAAACTGTGAGCAGGTCCCACACAGCCCTCTCCCTTCCTCTCCTTATCTCTTCACCTCCTGCCCAAGTACCCCCACCTCTGGTTGTTCTCAGAGCCACATGCCTGTGCTGTTTTAGGGGTGTGTCTGGCTTACTTCGAGAGCAAATTCAATCCCACGGCTGTCTACGACAACTTGCATGGGGACTACATGGGGTACGGCCTCTTCCAGATCCGGAACACAGACTGGTGTGACAATGGCAAGAACCTCTGTCACATAGCATGCTCTGGTAGGCTCTTCCTTCCATGCCCTGCTGGGGATCGGGGGACCTGGGTGGGGGCTGTGCTCAGAGACCTGCCTTTCCGGTGGGTGGCTGGAGTGTAACTATGCATTTGGGGAAGGAAGGACGAAGGGCGGGAGGCCTCTGGGTTGGGCTGGAGGGGTCACAAGAGGCCTGAACACAGCACTTTCAAGGTGGTTGGCATTGTTTGTTGTGAAGTCAGTCCAGCTCACGGTGACTCCATGCATGCACAGCAGAACTGCAGTGGGTTTTCAGGGCTCTGATTGTTCAGAAGTAGATTGTTCTATCTTCTGCCGGTCTATCTTCTTCTTGTCATTGTTGATTGCCTTCGAGTCGAGCACAACTCATAGCGACCCTTATGAACAAAAGGCTTGAAGACCCTCTACATCTATCTCCTTTTTATCAAAGTTCGTAGGGTTTCCGGAGGCATGTTATTTGGGAAGTGGATTCCATTCCTATGATATATAAGTTTTGAACTTCTCTCTATCCTGTGCGATCCTTATGATCTGTCAGCTCAAGTCCATTGTTGTAATTTTGGTTCAATCCGTCTTGTTGAGGGTCTTCTTCTTTTTCATTGACTTACTTTACCTAGCATGATGTCTTTTCCCACATCTTTTAGCCCCTCCTGACAACAGGCCCAAAGTATATGAGAGGAAGTGTCACCATTCTTGCCTCTGAGGAGAACCTTGGGTTGCTCTTTATGATACTAAAGAGCAAGGATGTCACTTTAAGTACTAAGGTGCACCTGACACAAGTCATAGTCTTTTCAATTGCTTTGTATGCCTCTGAACATTGTGCAATAATAAGGAAGACAGAGGGAGATCAATGCTTTTGAAATGTGTTAGTGCAGAGCCTTGAATATGTCAGACACTGCCTGCTGTTAGAGGCAACTAATGTGATGATGTATGGAAAAGCAACGAGACTGGATTAGGGAGGAGAGAGATGCTAATGTAGACATGAAAAAAGGGATTGCAGTGATTCCTAGTGTGAAGTTTGGCTTCTACCTGTCAGGTGGGAATGGAGGAGATGGTGTGAAGGTGCACACAAGTTGGTTGCTTGGGAGAACTTCGGGGGCCCTCTTACGTGCTGTCCTCTTAGCTTGAATCAATTTTCCTCCTGTCACTTCTTCAGCTCTCTTTCCTAACATACCCCTTAGATGTCACCTGGCTTATTAATCCTACCCTGACTTTTAGAGTTGAATTAAAGACCCCTACTGGGTTAGTCATAGGAGAGAGTTAGGTTTTGTGCAAAACTTACTCTCAAGTTGTATTTGACTTGATGACACTTAACCACTGCTAAGTGGAACTAGAGCTGTTGTATCTGGAGGAGCACCCTTCAACTTTGTACATCACTCTTTGTCAATGTGCAGTATTAAGTAACCTTGTTTGCTGTGATGCTGAATTTTGTGCCATTGAGGTATCAAAGATCAGAATGGTTTCCCAATGTGGACAGTGTTTGGTGGAGCTCCCAGTTGTAAAACAGGTTGAGAAGCAGGAGTGGCATCCACTTCCTAAACCACATGCCTCTGGAAACTCTATGAACTTGGTAAAATGATGACAGTTATGGAAAGGCATTAGGTCTTTTGTTCATAAAGTCGCTATGAGTCGGACTTGACGGCAATCAACAACAACATCAAACAACTGGGGAGCTGTGTTAGTGATAAGAAGCTGTGTTGCAATCCCAAAGACATGAGGTTCAAATCTACCAGCTGTTCCATGGGAGAAGGATGAGCGTCTCATCCTGTGCAAGCAACTGCCTCTGAAAACCCACTGGAGGGTCAGCTATGAGTTGGTTCTGATTCAACAGTACACAACAACAACAATAACTAAGTGCTCAGAGATTGTGAGAATAGTACAGTATAGGAGAGGGTGAAGATTGGTTGTTCATAGGGTCACTATGAGTCATACTAGATTTGATGACACCTAACAATAGCAACAAACAGACGCTGCCCTGGATGTGCTCACTAAGTTGTGCCAGGAAATCTGGAGGACAACCAGTTGGCCAACTGACTGGAAGATATTGATATTTGTTCTCATTCCAAAGAAAGGTGACCCAACAGAGTGTGGAAATTATCGAACAATATCATTAATATCACATGCAAGCAAGATTCTGCTGAAAATTATCCAA